TTTTGGTGCTAAATTATCTAGGGCGGTTATTGGTGCTGTTTGACGTCATGCCTCCGTTACTGATTGTTTGCCTAGGGCAAGTCATAGAGGACACAATTGTATTCAAATTTATCTAAATCTTGTAGTATTCTTCTAGATCTCGGAGCCTATTTACAAATTTTTTCCAGCCTATTTTAAACGCTACCTCAATGCTGTAGTGATTGCACAGCCCCTCGTGGGGGTGCAAACCAATCTATACTACACTACCCACCTACTGTACCAAGGCTTCCTGGGACTAGTCTGCAAGTAGTACTGTACTAACACGGAATACTGTTACTTTAGCACGAGAAAAGCCGTTGGGAAATCGTTGGGTAAGGATGACTGATATCGGATCGATAGTCTGGTTGGATGGAAGCCCCAGCCAGGCCAGATAAAAAGAAAATTGGCTACTTTTTGAATCTGATAACCTTCCTCTATACTATACTGTAGAGTAATTGTTTGCTCAATCTTCAAGCGTCTTGTAATATCAGATAGGCATATAGAGAAAGGTCAATGAGCGACTAAAATAATCCTATTTGACAATAAAAGTAGGGCTTTCCCAAGAGCAGCAGTCACAATATCGATACTTCCCGAATTTAGCGATAGGTACGACCCATTGGAAAATGTGATGCAATCGCTCGCATGGAGATAACCCGGGCGATACCTTATTAGAACATCGCACAACCATAGTCACAATCAAATATCCTTTAAAATATAACTACATTACAAGGAGCGTGGAAGCAATGGCACTTTTTGAGGAGATCCAAATACCGGATATGCAGTCAAAGGATGGGGAAGGTTCAGGTGGACATACATGTCACCCCAGGGCCACTTTGTGGTAGAGTAGCAGAAATTTGATAAAATTCCGTCACCTCAAACATAAGAAAAACACTCGTAAATGATATCTTGTCATCATGATCTGCTCACATTAGATTCGGTGAGTGGGCCTATGCTCATAGGGCGCTAAGCGACTTCAGAGTCAGTTATCTTAGCTTCTCACCCTGATATGTAAATATTTTCATGATCGATAAAGTAGAAAGCACACACTAACATCGAAAGCGCTCAATATGTTTATGCAAGTGGTACAGCTTTTAATCCTAGCTACTGTACGAACGACTAGTCTACCAGCGCCACATTTTGCGACCGGTTATCGGATATGTAGCTTCGTGATCAGTCGAGATTAAGGACACCCATTCCTTTGAACTACGCAGCTTTTGAACAATGGACTATAACTAGGAGCATTAGCACTCAAGTATTAATGACATGTTTGATTCTAGATATCGAGTAACAATAGCTAAAAATGAGAGTCTGAATTTCAATTCACTCTATCGAATGCCCGATTCATTGTAAGTCTCGCCAAATAGGATACTTGTCTCATACTAGTTTAGGCATGATATGAGGCGAAATGGCCTCGTACATATAACCTATAACCTTGTTGTCCACTTATTTCAATAACTATCTAAGTCCTCAGACTCCTCCCTTTCCAAAATTTTAATAGATATTCCATACATAAACCCTGGGTCCTGTACCCCCACCCTATGAATTCATGCAGTGTTAGTCGTTGTTACCGCAATGATGCTAATACCACCCATAGCCAAAGCATCTCGTATATCTGCTTTGATATTCCCAACCAGGCTGTAATGCTACGAGCTGGCCCTTAAAGCTCGAGTTAGCTCTCTCGTGTTTGAATTGGTATGGTTGTGCTGTTATCAGACTTTGATTAAGCTCGTAAATATTTGTAAACTTCTATTAAACTTCCATTGGTGCTCTCTCCAACCGTAACTCATTTTCCAATATTTTCCGCTTCGCGCTGTATATCATTAGACCCGGAGCCCTTCATCAGTCACCCTTGAATATCTCTTGCACCAACACTCTTTTACCGACGGCAGAACATTCAAGTGCACTTTTATACAAGGTTCATTGCAAGCTGGATGATCTTGTCGCGTCTTCGGGGACCTAAAAATTTGTCAAGCTTCCGGATAGCTCATTTGTCTGGGACTGCTTATGTGGACCGGAGCTGATAGACCTGGAACATTGATACAAAGGTTCAACTGGATAGTAACTGTATAGAGCTGACTTCGGAGGGGGGCACAAGTCGATGTACCTGGAATCGTTACACTGTATAATACCGGTTCCTCACCTGAAGGTTATTTTTGTCTTGAGTGATGTAGGTGTTGTACCGTCAATCCTTTCTTCGACGATGAAACTTAAACTAAAACCCTATCGCTCTTGATACCGAATATCCCGCTTTCTTCTGCCGGTGTCTCTCCTATTCTTCAATCCCTTTTTTGACTGAATGCCCAAGTGGAATCCGGTGTGCCGAATGGTCGAATCAAGTGACTTATTTCCAGGCTTCTCGGCTATTATGTTGACACCGAGGTTATAGCGCAAATCAATGTTCCTTCTAGCTGAATGTCGGGTTTTTCAGCTCAATATATATACTCCAGTCGAAAGTAGGTCCATAAGCGTTAGTGGTATAGGTGCCGCAAAGCAAGATATAATAGGGACATTGGCCATGGTGGTGCTGCAGACCCTATTTACGGAAATAACAGTATCAGGGGTATTTGTGTAGACAGGGAATATTTATCGATCGCACAATGACTTCTGGCGGCGGTGGCCCCAGGCCTGAGAAAGAGAGAAAGGGGAAGTGAGAATGATGCTAGTCGCTAGATATGTTGCTAAAGTAAACCACGAGACTATCCATTTGACAGGTGGGGGCTGCAGGTATGAAAGCCAACAACCATACTACCCCATGTCAAGCATAACCATGCATACAAGTAAGGAAGATTTTCAGCCAACCCCCCATTGTCAAGCATGTGCCACTTACAAGTGTACATTCCTACGTAGTGTGCTGATGCATGGAGGTTTGAGAAAACAGAGATATATTGGGAGATGACAATATTGTCCTGGCTATCAAGCTTTTGATTAAAAGACCATTACCCACTCAGGAAGAAATCTGAGACTTTCACGGCTGATCAACATTATCAGAAGCAATAATTTGAGCTGAAATCAGTACATTCCTCGCAGTACTAATGGACATGGTGCAAATCGGTTGAATATCCAGATTTGAAATTTAAAGTGACTCTTTCTTTGCGCCAAGCCCAAGGCTTCTATCCCTGCAGAATGACTTGGATGCGTTTCATAATTATTGCACTCTAAGTAACAGAATTGAACTTCTTATCTGATTTCACAAATCACCTCTTAAAGTTTCAACAGCAAGCGAGAGTCACACATGAATCCAAGCGTTAGTGGGCAATGTACTAGGTACCTAAACAGCAAAGTACAATCTTCCTTCCGCACTTGCAGATGCATCTGGATATATGGAAGAATCAGATAAGATGTTACAAACTACCTACCGATCAACCTTAGCCAGCGAACCAAGTTAGTCGTTACAAGTTAACTTAGCAAGCGGTAATGCTTGAATGCTCGCTAGAGGGCACGAGAATAGGCGCTAGAGTAAATATGAAGTGGTCGTTGTAAGTATTGCAGTATCTAGTCTGCAGGCACCGCCGCCTCTCGTAGACTGGTAACGTAAGCGACAGGGATCCGACGCATGGAGATCCAACGCGCCGTTCGCACCCCGAGTATCAGGTGCACAATTAGTAATGTAGAGTTGTTCAATTGGCCTGGGATTTAAAATAGAGTAAGTAGATACATATAGAAAGCTATTTTAAAGACTATTCCGAGGGTAGAGAGGGTTTAAACATGTACGAGAAAATGGCGGATTATGATGTTGTGTACTATTATATATGATAGGGAGACCGGAAATCCGTACAAATTGATATATTTTGATGCAACGATGCCTAGGACCCAAATACAGGCTTTTCAAACTTGAAGTCATTGGGGTAGTGTATTTAAGCCGCCAGAGGGTTATGGAAAGCCGTGATATGTGATAGATGTCCTGGCAGTGGCCACAATAATAGTATCAGACAAAATGCTAGAGAGCTTGGCCTGTCAGATGAATCTCAGACTACATTCTAAGAAGCAAAACCCAACACACAGAGATGGAAGGTTACTGGCAGAGTGTAGGATCATTACTGGTGCAGATATTGATGTATTCAACATGGTTGGGGAATGGTAAGCATGAGGAAAGAATTAAAGAATGAGAGCAAGGATAGCGGGGCAAAAAGGATAAAGGAAAGCATCCTCCATACCTTAAATGAAGTTTTTAGCTCCACTGCAACCTCAATACAAGGGGGTCTGAGTTATAACCATCTCACCTAGAGAATACCCCGATGTTCGGTCTAAATCTGATAGCCCTAGCTCCCCACCTTGTATTTCGTCTGATACGGTCACTCCCAAGCAATCTGTCAAGCGTCAGGTACTTTCATAACCCTCCGGCAATTCAAATACACCACCTCAATCATCGTCATGTGTGAAGACCCGGTACTTTGGTCGTAGGCATTATGGTTACATAAATTTACATCGGTTTCCGGTCTCCCTATTAATCCCCTATATACCCTCTCCACTCCTCGGAATAGTCTTCGGAATAGCTTTCCGTATGTGTCTACCTGCTCCATTTTAAATCTCAGGCCAATTGAATAACTCTTCATTAATGATTGTGCATCTGATAGTTGGGTTGAGCACGCTGCGTCCGCTCCCCATAATGCGTCGGATCCCTGTCCCTTACGTTATTGCAGCCTTTTCATACCTTTCTTAAAACCCATCGAGTCACATAATCTGGCTTCTTGTTTACGAACATACTACAGGTGCCCCAAGTATTTGAAGCTATGAAACATCTCAAGATCGAGGATGGTTCCTATAAAGAGATTATAGTACGCTAAATTCGCTCTAATCCAGTGCAGGTTGTAGTCCCAATGTAGCGGTAGTTGGGGTTTACATTAGAGAAGTCGCGCAAGCATAGAAGTAGTAGATCTATAGATACGGAGTACGCACTAGAGCACCAGTGCGGACCAATTATTGAGGCGCAATTTCTCAATATAGAGTGACACGGTCTCTGAACAGAAACAAAAACGTATGAAAGTCCCTGAGGCGGATCGAACGCCTGACCTGGAGATCTGCAATCTCTCACTCTACCACTGAGCTACAGAGACTTTGTCAGATATATTTCATAATATGAGCCAACATCAATATTCGGTACCATAGAAAACTAGCAGCAAACTATTTCATTTATCTGCAATCTTATGATTTTCCTTGAAAATTTCAAATACGTGCATATTTGATAGCGACATTGTTGCCGATTGGGATACTTTAGTACTTATCGTCGTTTGGGCAATGGCAAGCGAGATAAACATCTAGCAAGCTTGAATACATTGCATGTAGGCGTACCTTGGGACTCAGCTAGAGCCGCTATCGGAACAGGGTCCAATCCAAATCAAGCTCCCTATAGCTACAATATGTCTACACCATGGCCAATGAGGATAGGGGATAGAGCTGGGAAATCTAACGAATATATATATCTTCTCCAGGTTTCCTAAATTCCTGTAAATTCGTTTCCATTATTGATCAATCATCGCGTGCACTGCTTACTGAACCTTTACACTTCCACAAAAATTCACACCATTCAAAACACGACCGAGCAATGCCCCCTCCAAATCCTCCTCTGCCCCCAACCGAAGTCTCCCGCCCCGGGGTAATCATCACCTGCTGTGAGCGCTGCAAGACGTCTCAGCAGGAGCCTCAGCCTCAACCTCAGCCTCAGCCACAGCCGCCGAGACCCTGTGTCCCGAATCCACACCCTGATGTGCCACCGAATTAATTAAATGGCGTGAAGGGAATGGAGAGAAGAGAGGATAGCTAGGGGAAAACTATGACTGCTCGTTTTTGCTTCTTTTTTGTGGATATTTGATGGGAGTCCCGGGGAAATGTCAAGGCAGACATTTGAATCTAGAGCCGGAAATGACTTTTGTTTCATCGAACTCGTGAAATCCTCATTACATTTTGCCTGCATTTTTATTCAAATAATGTAAGCTTGGGATTAACAGGAACGAAATACGTGAATGGCACAGGGGTTGATATGAGATGTGCTTGAACTGATTCGCCGGGAATCAATTCTCTTTTGTACCACTTGTTTTTGAGTTGGGTTCAAGTTGGTTTCCAGATTTTGAAGCTATGAGAATGGCTCACATATGATTATTTACCATTGGCGTGAAAGGATAAGCTGAGCCAGAGGCAAGGCGGATACATATGGTGATCTATGCGGGACCGGATACCTACATACTTGGGCTATATTAGAACCAGAAATGTGACTGATACACCGATGATGCTCTAGCCTTGTACTACAGTATGTAATTCTTTCCGTACAAGGAAGTCGTATGTGCATGACTGTGGACCAACTGCTTATTAGGACGCCAAATTTTTCAACAGCGGGTAATCGGTGCCGGAAGTGCAGAAATAATGCATGTTAACGAGTGGTATGTTAGACCAGAGTTCCAGCCGGAAAAAGGGCATGACCTGGGTACACAAGCTCCCTCCGTGTTTGACAAAAGTTTATAATGGAAGCACAATAGATCTATTTCATGTATCTCAGGACATAACGTTGCAAGCTAATAACACATTATATTATTATTCTTATCTCTGTAGGGTTGGTATGAAGTCAAGGTTGTGTGGTGTAACGGTAGCACGTATCATTGTGGGATTCCCTTGGGAACCCCAACGGCCCCGATACAATCGCGGTTCGATTCCGTGCACAGCCAATGGTATTCTTTGATCCTGTTAGCAAAGTGTGAAAAGAGCTCGTAGTTTTTTCTTCTCACTTAATAAATAAAAGAAGAAGTGAAAGTGTATCAACTTTTTCTCGGCAAGTGCACTGTCATTCCCACCCTGGCAGCTCTGTAGTTTTGTTGGTCTGTGATTTGAGTAAAAGACGGCTTATGCGGAGTCGGGGGAGATATAAATACCTCGTCATCACCCATAATTATCGTTGGGTTGCTTGGGTTGCTCTATTCCCACATATACGTAACTCTACCGGTCTGCTTAATAGCCCTGTAACATTCCTTTCACTCAAGCCCTATTTAGCTGTATTCGGTCTTGCTCCAAGCATGATAAGTTATTTGGACATGCCAATGGGCAGGGAAAGCATCTACCCGCGGTTTTGAAATATGATACGGTCCTACTTTCCAAGCCTGTCTTAGTGGCTGCATGTTGGGTGTTCATCACGTGCCAACTGTGGCTAAAGGGAGAACAACTCCCGTCATGCATGCATGTATTTAGCTCAAGCCAAATGTACAACGATGCTATCAAGCCAGGTTTTTATTGTAACCACGCCACGATAACACCCTACCCAACCAGAAATATCGGATGGGCATAAGGCGAGGCCTGGACGGTAGTCCTGTAATTCGAATCCAGGGCTGCTTCATGAGCTCTCAAGTATAGTGAAGGGCGATTTAGAATACAACACTTAGGTAGATGGGGAGGTAGTAATGCATAATGTATCTCAGTATAATTATTTATAAGAAATACTCACCCATAAGATGATCTCATTTCGGCCAAATGTTACCAGCGTTATCGGTGCCAACGGCGATATTATTCCCGCTGAGTCAATCCTATCATCTTGCCGTTCGTAAGTAGTACATATAGTAGGTATCGAGCTTGTAAGTATACCTATTGCCCTCATCGATAAGTTACCTGGCTATCACTCTATCTGTCAAGCAAACACACCCGAATCAATACCATATGCTACGTAACTACCTCTCTGTGCTCTTTTACTTGTCAACTGTGACCACTATCTAAAACCTGATTATTCACAGGTAATGCATATTCCCGCCACAGAGTGTGCTGGCGCTCAAATGATGTGGACTTGCCGCTGCAGAACAAAAACTATCCCGGATAACGACAGATGCTATTTTGCAGGGTGTTGTGAATACTATGATATAAAGTGGATCTGGGTGTCCTCAAAGGGTCTAGGATTTGGATAGTCGGGCGCGAAGTGGTTTCCGCAGGGCGGGAGGGGCCATGCACGTTATAAGGAGAGTTTTGCAAAGGCGCGAGCTTGTAGAAGGAGATACTTTGAGCTAATGCCTATGCTGAGATATCCCCGGTTGCTATTGGTGTAGGTTGAATAGCAGCTTTTGGTAGCGAAATTCTAATATTCTTTGTATAATTAGAACACTAACGGACTATACATGAGAGTACTGAATCACATGATTTCATGACAACCTATCGAATATTCCATGTCATGATTTGTCGTTAATTCCATTACAAATAACCATAATTCTTTTTATTTCACTCAAGATTGAGTGAGGTTAGGCTGAATCGCATGAAATAAACACGGTTTGATAGCTCGTCCACATGAGTGGCAACTAATATAATTATCTCTAGTCTCTTCCGAGACCCAGTAGCTAGGCGATGTGATAAGGCATGACAAGTACTAGTTTGAGAGCGAGAGATGGCAATAATGTGTAAGAAAGAAGGGTGGTAGATAAGGTTCTTGAGATAAGGGGTCTGTACGATTGACCTACAATGTGCGGCATAAAATGGGTACAAGAACTTAGGTACGACGAGTGCCATAGGACATGCTTGTCCTAAAGGGGATAAGTTATAAGTTTGTCTCAAAACCAACTGGTCCCCCAAACCTAAGAAAAGTCTAGTAACATAGTTCCCTATCCCCCCATACCTCTCCCCACATATAACTTCAGTGTCGAGCTAGAGGTAGCTTCTTACACCGCACACGTTCTAAGATCGGGGGTGTATGCATCGGGGGTTCACTGGAAATAATTCTGTACTATGGCCCCAGCCGTGTAAATATGTTTGTGTGATAGGCTGGCAGACATGGCAATTCCTGTGGATTCCAAAGTAGGCAGGAAATCAACACTACGGGAGGCCTAGGACACCAGACCTATACCATAACTTTAAGCTCTAGCCCAACCATACGACTAGCTATGGGTCGAATGTGCGTTCATAATCACCCGCAAATGCTATTCTGCCCCGATCAAACTCGTAAGAGTGCTTAGGTCCTTTCGGCCCTTCCGCCATGTATGCAGGTGAGTTAGCCTTAAAGTTAATTCTAAAAATGAACCTAAAAGGAATTTTCCTCACTTACATACCGTTCTTGGTAAGCCTCTTCCATATTATTATGTACCTTTTTTTTTTCTTTCGGTAAATCAGTACTCGCATTGAAGCATCTCGCGACACCGCATCCCCCCAGGTTAGACCCTGACGGGATTATCCCACCCCCGGGCCGCTCCCTGCCCCGTATCTACGTACATGACCAGATACCCCCCAGCTCAAAGATATTCCCACCAGATACACACACTGCAAGGACCTTGTTATGTACCTTGCGTTGCCTTAGTCTAACCAGCGGTGAAACTCCCCTCGTGTGTTCTCTACTTAGCAGCAGCGTAGAGAGCAGTCGGTTGACTCTTCGGTGATTGTGGTTCTAATGGTAATGGTCCCCGGTCCCGTTGCCCGAGTTGCTATTCCGGCTTCTGCATAGGTATCAGTATGTGCTAGTGAACTGGTTTGAGGAGCATGTAATATGCGGTATCTTATATCCATATGCTTTGCCTCTGTTGGTGTCATCATGATGACACCTGAATGGAGAGAGGCTTAGCTTCTGACTAGTCGCCAGACTAAACAGAGATAACCATAGGTTAAGGAAGTAACAAAGATTTTCAAAATATAAAAGCAAGTTTCCTTCAGTGGGCTTACATTAAGTTTTGGGTTCGTTACTGCGGGAAATCTCGATACAACTTCCGGAGTCGATCGTGCCACGTTACATGCTCACCCCGCGTAGAAGAGTCAATGCCGCTCGTTCCGTGTATATATACCTACACCCACGCCCCTAGCTCTTGTGAAGGTTTCTACCTGACTGCCTGTCCATTAATATTCTTTCAAACACAGACAGACCGAAACCAGGTATCAACCTGCATAACTACATTCTCTTCTATCCTCAAACACACTGTCGATACGAAAACCAACCATGCACATGCATTGCATGATCTTCGCACCTAAGCGCGTTGGCGAGCACGATGAAAAATATCAAGCTACATGGACATGTGGCGTGTGCGGATTTCCAACCAATCCGGCAGACAACAGTTCGTGCGCGAGTTGCGGGGAGGCGAATACTCCGGAAGTCGATTAGAGACGGAAGGCTCTACATCGTTTCAAGGACTTGTGGATATTTCCCCGAGGTTTACGCTGGATGGGTTGGGATGGTCAACGAGTAAGGGCCCGGAAGGGCGGAATTGGATATTTAAATTTTGTGGGTTTGAGCGGTGAGGTCTTGTGAGTGGACATACGAGATAGTGGGAATGCGAATGGGAAGGGCAGTGGCCGTGATTTTGTCAGATTATATTTATCTGAATTTTCCTACATCATCTTTGACATTGTGCAGGCAATTTTAGTGGCAACTTGCAAGTTATGTATTGCAATGACTTACGGCTGGCTGTATAAGCGATAAAGAAAGTGAGAGAAGTAGAGAAGCAACAATGGGGAGCCCATACATGGGAGCACACGGACGTGATAAAGTCTATGTACCTAGAATGTACCTACATATGAGGTAGTTTCTCACTTGTGTTGCAGGGTGCTATTCGTCTTTTCTGCGGTCGTGGACTAGTATCCTCCATACAAATCTACTATTATCATGCATATTCCATAATCATGAATGTACTCCTATTATCGTCTTTTGTTCTCATCATATCATGGTATGCGCACTCGCCCCATTTTGACTCACCTCATCGCCATCTCCTTGTCTATAGCTTGGGAAATTAGAAACCTTCTTATAGCTTACTGGATGGAACCTGCCTATGCCTTCCCTCTAGGTGTGTGGTACAACGCTAACCCTTGAATGATGTGGGCCGATGGGCTTCATCTAATTGGATATTCTACTGCCAATGTTGCATTATTGCAAAGCCAATCCGATGCGCGATGAGAAGGTTATGCAGACTCAAAGGTAACCTAGGTGTAACACCCCTCTTGACGGTATCAATGTGTCGCTGATGCAAACGAGAGGTTATAATAACCATAAAGTTCAGCAGTCAATCTAGTTTCGTATCGAGCCAATGGCCACCAACTTTCCGCCTGTTACTTTGGTTCAATAGCTAGCTCCCGCGCACAAATGACACCACTGATGAGATTTTGCCTTTGCTACCGCCTTTAATAAGGCATATGCCGATTGATCCTGTATTTCCTACAGCTTTCGGTTAGCTCCTCTAGAAAGTATGAAACTCACACTGCCATATCTATCACCACCCTGACTATGTGCGTAGGTGAGTCGAAGATAATTTTGAGAGGCGCATGGAAGGGTCCTGAGTGCCTGTGCACCACTTACACCACATTGCAATGTAAAACTCTAACCTTGCGTTAAAGTAGGTGGCATTCATCGTCCAGTAGAACATCTCGTTTACCCCATTGGATAGTATGTACTGTGTACTACAGGGGACCCGAGCTATTACTATACACTTCCAATCTATACTTATGGTATCAACTTAGGTGAGAACCTATATTTCCCCAATGGCGTGATTTCATTGGGAGCTGTGAAGCTCCCATTGTACCATACAAGCATGCATTAGTATTATGATGAGTGCTTGTGCAACCTTGATACGGGTAGCAATAGTGCTCATATAATGCACACAACTTCGGGTCCCTGTCACCCAGCAAAATCTTCTCACCTACGTGAGTCTACCACGATCAAGAACAACACCAACACAAGTCATCGCTATCCTCTCTGCGAATTTCATTTCCAAGTCTCCGTCCG